TAATTTTAAATTTTCTTTTATTTCTTTTTTCTTTTCCAGCGGCCCCCCCGAGAAGAAATTGGGGATCCGAGCCTCCAACACCACCTGGGTCCACTTTGACTCCGTGCGGGTCCCGGCCCAGAACGTCCTGGGGGCTCCCGGGGGGGGCTTCAAGGTGGCCATGAACGTCCTCAACAACGGCAGGTTCGGCATGGCCGCGGCCATGGCCGGCACCATGAGGGGGCTGCTGGCCACGGCGGTGAGAATTCCAGAAAATTCCCGAAATTCCCGAAATTCCAAAAAAAACCCCGCGAAAATCGGTGGAAAAATGAGGAAAATATTGCGAAAATTGGGGAAAAAAAAGTGAATTTTGGTCGTGGGCGGCACCATGAGGGGGCTGCTGGCCACGGCGGTGAGCATTCCTGAAAATTCCCGAAATTCCCGAAATTCCAAAAAAAACCCCGCGAAAATCGGTGGAAAAATGGGGAAAATATCGCGAAAAATGGGGAAAAAATTCAAAAAAAATGAGGAAAAAAATTCGAATTTTGGTTATGGGAGGGGGCTGCGGCCACTGGGGTGAGAATCCCAAAAAATTCCCCAAAAATTCCCAAAAATTCCGGGGGTTTTGGGAGTCCTAAAAGCCAAAAATCCCCAAAAAACCCCGTGAAAATCGGGGAAAAAATGGGGAAAAAATGAAAAAAAATGGGGAAAAAAATGTGAATTTTGGTCGTGGGCGGCACCATGAGGGGGCTGCTGGCCACGGCGGTGAGAATTCCTGAAAATTCCCAAAATTCCCGAAATTCCAAAAAAAACCCCGCGAAAATCGGTGGAAAAATGGGGAAAATATTGCGAAAAATGGGGAAAAAAATCAAAAAAAATGAGGAAAAAATTCGAGTTTTGGTTATGACGGGGCTGCAGCCACGCTGGTGAGGATTCCAGAAAATTCCTCAAAAAATTCCCGAAATTCCAAAAAAAACCCCGTGAAAATCGGTGGAAAAATGGGGAAAATATTCCAAAAATTGGGGAAAAAAATGTGAATTTTGGTCGTGGGCGGCACCATGAGGGGGCTGCGGCCACTGGGGTGAGGATTCCAAAAAATTCCCAAAAAATTCCCAAAAAATTCCCCCAAAAATTCCCGAAATTCCAAAAAAAACCCCGCGAAAATCGGTGGAAAAATGAGGAAAATATTCCAGGAAATGGGGAAAGAATTCCAGAAATTGGGGAAAAAAATTCGAATTTTGGTCGTTTTTATTTCGTTTTATTTTAATTTTATTTCATTTCATTTCATTTTATTTCATTTTATTTCATTTTATTTTAATTTTATTTCATTTAATTTAATTTCATTTTATTTTATTTTATTTTTATTTCATTATACTTTCATTTTATTTCATTTTTATTTTATTTCATTTTATTTCATTTTAATTTTCCTTTCACTTTATTTCATTTTATTTCATTTGATTTCTTTTCATTTTTTTAAATTTTTATTTCATTTTACTTTATTTCATTTTGTTTTATTTTTATTTTATTTNGCTGGCCACGGCGGTGAGAATTCCTGAAAATTCCCGAAATTCCCGAAATTCCAAAAAAAACCCCGCGAAAATCGGTGGAAAAATGGGGAAAATATCGCGAAAAACGGGGAAAAAAATCAAAAAAAATGAGGGAAAAAATTCGAATTTTGGTCATGGGAGGGGGATGCGGCCACGCTGGTGAGGATTCCAGAAAATTCCCCCAAAAATTCCCGAAATTCCAAAGAAAACCCCGTGAAAATCGGTGGAAAAATGAGGAAAATATTGCGAAAAATGGGGAAAAAAATGTGAATTTTGGTCGTGGGCGGCACCATGAGGGGGCTGCGGCCACTGGGGTGAGGATTCCAGAAAATTCCCAAAAAATTCCCAAAAAATTCCCCCAAAAATTCCCGAAATTCCAAAAAAAAAAACCCCGCGAAAATCGGTGGAAAAATGGGGAAAATATTGCGAAAAATGGGGAAAAAAATGTGAATTTTGGTCGTGGGCGGCACCATGAGGGGGCTGCTGGCCACGGCGGTGAGGATCCCTGAAAATTCCCCCAAAAATTCCCGAAATTCCAAAAAAAACCCCGTGAAAATCGGTGGAAAAATGAGGAAAATATCGCGAAAAATGGGGAAAAAAATCAAAAAAAATGGGGGAAAAAATTCGAATTTTGGTTATGGGAGGGGGATGCGGCCACGCTGGTGAGGATTCCAGAAAATTAAAAAAAAAATTCCTGAAATTCCAAAAAAAACCCCGTGAAAATCGGTGGAAAAATGGGGAAAATATCCCGAAAAATGGGGAAAAAATTCAAAAAAAATGAGGAAAAAATTCGAGTTTTGGTCATGACGGGGCTGCAGCCACCCTGGTGAGCATTCCAGAAAATTCCCCCAAAAATTCCTGAAATTCCAAAAAAAAACCCGTGAAAATCGGTGGAAAAATGAGGAAAATATTGCGAAAAATGGGGAAAAAAAAGTGAATTTTGGTCGTGGCCGGCACCATGAGGGGGCTGCGGCCACTGGGGTGAGAATTCCTGAAAATTCCCAAAATTCCTGAAATTCCAAAAAAAACCCCGCGAAAATCGGTGGAAAAATGAGGAAAATATCGCGAAAAATGGGGAAAAAAATCAAAAAAAATGAGGAAAAAAATTCGAATTTTGGTTATGGGAGGGGGATGCGGCCACTGGGGTGAGGATTCCTGAAAATTCCCGAAATTCCCGAAATTCCAAAAAAAACCCCGCGAAAATCGGTGGAAAAATGGGGAAAATATTGCGAAAAACGGGGAAAAAAAAGTGAATTTTGGTCGTGGGCGGCACCATGAGGGGGCTGCTGGCCACGGCGGTGAGAATTCCTGAAAATTCCCGAAATTCCCGAAATTCCAAAAAAAAC